TTGTTTTATTTAAAAAATACTAAATACAATTTAATTTTCTAGGCAAATTTGCCTGGAATACAGTTTAAGGGATAATATTAAAAAATTATATTTTTTATATAGTACTTTTTGTCATATAGTAAATTTAAAGATATAATTTATTTTTATTATATAAATTATAAAGAATCTAGATATTTTGTACAATAAAATTATAGTATTATACTTAACTCAAAAACTTTTGATTGTTTTTATTATCTATAAATAAAATATATATTATTTGCTGATTCAGATAACTAGTTTATAATTTTAAAAAAAAACTAAATAATTTTTTTTTGACACTATTGGTATGCTTTATGATTTTGAAAGTTGCATATGTGTTATACAGTTTAGAAAAAGCTTTTCAAAGATGTATTTTTTGGCAATTTTATTAACTTGTCTAAGAGCAATTTTATTTTACTTATCAAATTTTGATAATATATAAGTATATATATATTCAGTTTCTTCTTTTATTTTAAACTAAGTAAATTTATACCAATTTGATATTTTATAAATTGTTTCTATTTTTTTTTATTTAAATAATATTATTATTTATTTTGATATATATATATGGATTATATAAAATAGTGCATATGCATTATAGCATCCCTTTGTATTACTATGTAATATTATTATACATCATTACATATATTTTGATAGTCTGCATTTGTGATTACATATATTTTAATAGTCTGTAAATCTAATCTGAGGTATATATAAAACAAATCGTAGAATATTTCTGATCCTTTTTTTTATATCATTGATCATGAGTTTTTACATTGCAAGGCCTTTTTTTGGTGTATAAAATGTTTTACTATGCAAGGTCTTTTACATTTTCATATTGCCAAAGTTTTTTTTACCTTTGTCAGGCTTTATTCTACATTGTAAGGTCTTTTTTTATGTCACTGAGCCTTTTTTTTTATGTTATTAGGCCTTTTTTTTTTATGTTGCCAGCTTTTTTTACATTATCAAGTCTTGTGTCAACAGGTCTTTTCTGCATCTTCAAGTTTCTTTTTATGTTCCAAGTATTTTTGGCATCTCCAGATGTCTCTTCAGGCCTTTATTTTACTGTGACAAGTCTTTTTTTTTGCCATCAAGTTTTTTTTTAACCACCAGGCCTTTTTTGTTTTTTCAGGTTATTTCATGTTGCTTTTGTGCCACTAGGTTTTTTTTTATGCCATCAGGTCTATTTTTTTGCTTTATTATGATGTTGCTAGATTATTTTTATATATTCAGACTTTTTTTTTACATTTCATTTTTTTTGCATCATCAGGTTGTCTTTTGCACTATCAGATTGCTATGTTATTAGTTATTTTTTGCATCATCTGATCTTTTGCATCACTGGAGTTGTCTTTTTGCATCTTCAAGCTTTATTTGCACTACTAGATCATTTTTGTTGTACTTTCAGATATTTAATAGTTTATATTATGCTGCTGTGATTTTTTTTCTTTTTTTTTATATCTTCAGATCTTTTGTTTCGTATTATTAGGTTGTTTTTCATACTAGCAGGTCTTTTTTTTTTGCATTAGCAGGTTTTTTTGCATCATCAGGCTTTTTATCTGAATTACTAGCTCTTTCTTGCATTGCCAGATATTTTTTTTTATTTATTATGTTGTTAGTTTATATGGTATTATGCATCTAGGTCTTTTTTTTTTTTTTACGTCTGTGGACCTTTTTTTGTATCGTAAGGTCTTTTTTACATTCCTTATGCTTTTTCATACCATCAAGTTTTCTTTTGCATTGTTAGAACTTTTCTATACCTGCAGTCTTTTTTGTACATATTTAAGATTTTTTTTTTTGGTTAGTGCTTGCTTTGTTAGTAAGTTAGGCATTATCTTATCAAGTATAAACTTTAGGTTCTAAATATAACCGAAATGTTTGAAAAAAGTGATCATACTGAATATACTAATGAAGTTGAAAATACTAGTCTATTAACTTCTTTTGAGAAGAGTACAAGCTCTGATTTGTTCAGTACCAAGGTTTTTTTTGACATGGGAGGAATGTAATTTATTTATTAGTAAGTAGGCTTAAAAAAAAGGCTTTCGTATCAAAAAAGATAGCATAAAATAAGAAGACAGAATTATAAAAAGACATACATACTTATGTGATCATTCCTGTTCTTATAATTCAAAGTTAAAAAAAGATTTAGTTACAAAAAAAATTAATTGTTTATTTCTTATTAATGCTTCATGCTCCAAGCCTAATAATTCTAAATATCATATATATATTAATAAGATTGTTAATGAGCATAATTATTCTCTAAGTGTTAAAAAGATCAATTTCAAAGAAAGTAAAAAGTTTACATCTGAAATGATTGATGATATAAAATTTTTAACTTCCCATTGTAAATTCAGGTCAATAGTGTAGCAAAAGTTTTTAGAAGAGAAGTATTCTGCCTAGTCAATACATTTTAAAGATTTGTATACCACTATTCAAAAGTTTCAGCCAACTACTAAAACATTAAAAAATAATATGACATCAATATTCAATTGGCTAGATAGCCAAAAAGAATGTGACCCTCAGTGAATTGTTGTTAGGGGTTGGGACGAGGATAATACACTTACAAAGTTACTATGGATGACCTCTGAACAAGTTAAAAATTGAATACAATTTTCAGACTGTGTTTTAAATGATGTGATCTATAAAACAAATTGTTATAACATAGTGTTATCAATGTTTGTAGGATTTAATCATAATCATCACAATATACTTCTCACGCAAGCTTTATTACCAGATGAAAGCATGAAATCTCATATTTGGATGTTTAAAGAGATATTAAAAGTAACTGATAAGCAGCCAGCTGTCATAATAACTAATGCAGATTCTGCAGTAGATTCCACAGTTTGCCAAGTATTTGTTCAAAACTATCTAATTCATTGTGTTTTCCACATGACACAAAATATTAACAAGCACCTAAAAAATTCACTTGCAAGTAATTATGAAAATTTTATTGAAGCTTTTTATATATGTAAAAACAGTCTTACAAAAGAAACTTTTGAAAGAAGGTTTGAAGGTCTTCGTCAAAATTTTCCTGAGACTAGTTTTTATCTTAAAGTATTATATCGCAACAAGGCCTATTGGGCCTACTGTTTTATACATTTTAAATTTACTAGCAATATGATATCATCTTCCTGCATAGAATTAGTGAATGGGTGCTTAAAATGATTATTATATAGTTCAAATATTTCTTTATGTGAATTAATGAATGAAATTTATCACCTTTTGAATTTTTAAGACAAAAAAGAAGAATATAACTTTTGGAAATTATCTGTTCCTTGCATTAGAAGTCAAGACAAACCAAATTTTCTTTTTAAAAAAATCAATATGTGTTTAGAAAAAATTCTTATGCCTATTATGTTACAAAAACAACATAACAAAATTAATCAGTTTGTTTATTATGAAGTTAGTAAACTTCTAGATGATGATATTGAGATATTTTTTTTAGCTTATTTATTATTTAAGTGATACTAAAGGAAAAGACATTCCAATCATATAAACTCTATATGATTGGGGTGCCTTTTCCCTTAGTATTACTCATTTTATAAATTATTTAATAACTTTTTTATAATTATAAAGGCTTTGTAGTGACAATCAAGAAATAAAAATACCTGATGCATCAGTAGCAGACATACAACAAATACTGCTAAAAGAACTTATTCATTTAGTAGAAGGATTGAACAATGTAATTGAAGTATGGTATGTAAATATTGGTAATTCTGTTACCACAAAACATAATATATTATTATTAAACAATAGGTCTTATGTGTGTTCATACTTAATGATCATCCAATAGGGTATTATTTGTAAGCATTATTTTCGAATAATGCTTACAAATGACAATGCCAAATTTCATATTTGGCTAATTCCTTCTTGTTGGTACTATAATAATACTAACATGTCTAAAGAACCTTTTTTAAAAGCAAATAAATTTTATGAGAAAATATTAACAGAAGAAACTGCTTTTCCTATCTCTTATCTATGTGCATTTAATCAGGATAACCAAGATTTTCTTGAAAAGAGTCTTATTATACTTTAACAAAGAAAGATTTATAAAGAGCTACATAGTACTTATAAGAAGGCTCTTAACAAAGCCTTAACAAGTCAATCAAATTCACAATGACTTATCGATCTGTTAAAAAAATTTACAGAAAGTGTTGATGAATCATCTGAAAGCTCAT